ACCCCCCCCCCCCCCCCCCTCAAGTGGGAATGTGGGGATTAACACACATGCCCAACTTGCAAAGAAAACGAAGAAAGTCCGCACGAGCAAGAGACTTGGTAAAAACATCGGCCGGCTGGAGAGAAGATGCAACATGTTGCGGAGAGAGAAAGCCGTCCTTGTAGAGATTGCGCACGACATGACAGTCGATGTCGATGTGTTTCGTGCGCTCGTGAAAAACCGGGTTAGCAGTAATGTGAATGGCGGCATTGTTATCACACCATAAAGGTATGGGTAGCTGCAGAGATAAGGAGAGATCATGTCCCAAGTAAGAAAGCCAACGCAGTTCACAAGCAGTGGCCGCCATAGAACGATACTCGGCTTCCGCAGATGAACGAGAAACCGTTTTCTGCTTCTTCGTCTTCCAAGAGATCAAGGCCTGACCGAGAAAGATACAATATCCAGTAAGAGATTTTCTGGACGAGGCACAGCTACCCCAATCGGCATCACAAAATGCGGTGAGCTGTGTGGAGGGCTGAGCTGTATAGAAAAGTCCCAAAGCAGGAGTCCTTTTGAGATATTTAATCAAATGTATAGCAGCTGCCCAATGTGCCTGCGTAGGGGCTTGAACAAATTGGCTAAGTTGTTGCACACCATAAGAGATATCCGCCCTGGATAAGTTCAAATAGAGTAAGCGGCCAATGAGCCTCCTGTATGTGGTTGAATCAGGAAGTAGAGGTGAGGTCTGCGAAGATAGGTTAATACCAGGAGGCAATGGAGTGACTGTGGGTTTGCAGGTGTCCAATTTTAAATCATGAACAATGTCAAGAATATATTTCCTTTGGCTCAAAAAGGTGCCCTTGGCAGTGCAACAGATTTCCAACCCCAAGAAATATTTTGCCTGGCCTAGATCTTTAATAGTGAACAAAGAGTCAAGATATTTCTTTAGATGCTGAATGGCAAGCAAGGAGGTTCCTGTAATAAGGACATCATCGACATAGATGAGCAAAGCAAGAGTTTCAGTGCCTGAATGCTTAAAGAATAAACAATGATCATTTGGGGACTGTGTGAAGCCATAGCTGAGAAGCTTGTCTGAGAACTCAATGTTCCATTGGCGTGATGCTTGCTTCAATCCATATAAACTTCTTTTTAAAAGGCACACCTCTCCCTTTTTAGCCTTATCATAACCTTTAGGTGGCAGCATGAACACCTCTTCATCTAAAAACCCATGAAGAAAAGCATTGTTAATGTCAATGTGGTGAAGTTCCCAACTGTGTTGAGTTGCTAAAGCTATCAACAATCTTACTGAAACCAACTTGGCAACCGGAGAAAAACTGTCAAAGAAGTCTATGCCGGCCTTTTGAAGAAACCCTTTTGCCACTAATCTGGCCTTAAATTTATCAATGCTTCCATTGGGGTTTCTTTTGATTTTGTATACCCATTTAGAGCCTATAGCTCTCTTCCCAGCTGGCAGCTGTGTAAGCTCCCAAGTGTTGTTGAGTTCAAGTGCCTGTAACTCTTTTTCCATAGCTTCAATCCACCTGTCATCTTTGACTGCTTGCTCATAGAACATGGGCTCAGAAATTGTTTTATCCACTTCAGAAAAGAACAAGGTGATTTCTTCTCTTTCATCACCTGAAGATGAGTCATCCATTACATAATCTGCCATCCAATTAGGCCTCCTCCTCACCCTTTTTCCCATTCCTCCTGCATCATGGGGAGCAGTCATTGATTTTCTTGTACTGAGATCAACAACCTTTGAATAGTCTTCAGGATTTGGAGACTCATGGTCATCTTGTGTGTCACTGATCACAGGTAATGGCACTTCAATGCTAACTGGTTTCTCTGCTGTTCTTTCCTTGGAAAATGAAAACTCATTTTCATAGAAGATCACATCCCTTGAAACAAAAATCTCATTAGTCTTGACATCATACACTCTATATCCTTTGATTCCTGAAATGTATCCCAGAAACACACATTCAACTGCCCTCTCATCAAATTTTTTCCTGTGTGGGAGATTTCTTTTTGCATAGCATAGGCAACCGAACACTTTGAACATGCTATAAGCAGGTGAGGCATTGTGCAGCAACTCATATGGGCTCTTCCAACCCAATTTCTTTCTAGGTAAGGTGTTGATTATCTGGACTGCAGCCAATATGCTATAGGGCCAAAGGTTCCTTTTTAAATTGGCTTGAAAAGACAGAGCTCTTGCCACTTCCAAAATTGTTCTGTGCTTCCTTTCTACTACTCCATTTTGCTGTGGAGTATATGGACAGGATCTTTGATGAATTATTCCCTTATCTTTCAACAAATCACTCATCTCTTTGTTGATGAATTCTGTCCCATTATCTGATCTAATCCTTTTGACCTGTTCATTAAACTGTACACCAACCATGTTTAAGAAGAACCTTATATGCTCATGTGTTTCTGCTTTGTACTTCATAAGGAAAGCCCAAGTGGCCCTTGTGTAATCATCAACAATGGTTAACATGAAGGAAGTATTTGTCACTGATTGTTCATGATAAGGCCCCCATACATCAACATGTATCAATTCAAATCTCCTCTTACTTTGTATAAAACTGAGTGGAAAAGGGGTTCTGCATTGTTTTGACCTGTGACATATGTCACAAGCATTGAGTTCTTCATCTACACCTTTCTTGCTGATAAAACTGAGATGTTTCAGAGTATCCTGTGGAGTGTGTCCAAGTCTTCTGTGCCAAAGGTTAATCTCCTTGTCCTCATGTCTCATGTGTCCACAAAAATCTTGTCCTTCTATAACATATAACCCAGCTAGAATTTTCCCTTCAGCAATTGTTTGGTTATTTGCATTGTCTAATAGCTTGCAGTTCTTATTTGTGAAGTTAAAACACAAGTTGTTATACTCAATCAGCTGCCCCACAGATAGGAGATTATATTTGAACTCAGGAACAAAAAGGACATCCTTGAGCAGAAGGTTTTCATTCAACTTGACCTCTCCAATCTTATTAACCTCAAACTTTGAACCATCAGGCAAATTAACAACCACTGGCATAGAGATATCCACACAATGAGAAATCAAATTGGGATTTGAGCAGATATGCTTACTTGCACCAGTATCAACAATCCAGCTGTCTTCATTCATCCTACTGAACGGTGAGAAAATATAACCTTCCTTTTTGTCAGCAAACTCCACAAGATGAGAGAAAGTGTGAGTTTCAGCCTCCTGTTGCATTGACATGTATTTGGCCACTTCCTTTGCTAGAGAGCTGATATCTAGTAGGGTGTCACTATGCTGTGACTTTGATTCTGAGTCTGTTCTTGAAAGTCCATCATTCTCCACCATGTTAACACTTTGACCTTGCCTTTGCTGTTTTAATTCTTTGTACCAGTCCGGATATCCATTCAATTTAAAGCATCCTTGCATATCATGTCCATTGTACCCGCAGTGAGTACAAAACAGCTTTGCCCTCTCTTCTTTGGACATCCTTGGTGAACCTCTGCCTCTTCCCCCATTATTAAATTGTTGCCCCCCTAAGCCTCTTCCACTGTTTCCACGGCCAAATCCTATCCCTCTCCCATAATTTCCTTTAACAAGCATAGCTGAGGTCTCCAAAGGGTTCATGATACCTGTGGGCAAGCTTTTCTGTTTCTCTACCTTTAATATCATTGAGTATGCCTTATTAATGGTTGGTAGTGGATCCATTAACAATATCTGGTTCTTAGCTGGTTCAAAAACCTCGTTTAATCCCATGAGGAATTGCATCACCTTTATTTCCATGTCATTTTCACTGAAAGCTTTACCAGTACCGCAGACACATTCAGGCAAGGAAATGAGACAAGCATATTCATCCCAAAAACACTTCAGCTTAGTAAAATATGTTGTAACTGAAAGAGAGCCTTGGACAAAATTAGCAATCTCCTTTAGTAATTGGTATTTCAGTGGACCGTTACTTTCACCATATCTTTCAGCAAGCTCATCCCATAGTTGTTTTGCAGTTTTAACATACATGAAGGCTTCAACAATTTCTCTAGAGATTGAATTCAACAACCATGAAATAACCATAGATTCTACCTTTTGGTACTGAGTGTAATCCTCTGTGTTTGTCTCAGGAATTACCACTGTCCCGTCAATGAATCCGAGCTTCGACTTTGCGCTTAGAGCCAGCCTCATCGCTCTGTTCCAGTGTTGGTAATTTGCACCATTGAGTTGACTCGTGACTAAAACCATGCCAGGATGATCAGATCCATGGAGCGACAATGGATCGATGTCTCTCGAGTAATTGCTCCGTACGATTTCTCGCCCATGTTCATCTCTGTTGTTCGCCATTGGAGTTTATGTGAAATGACCCGCTCTGATACCATGTAGAAATCCTAGGTTTCGAATATTCAAGCAAAAAAGTAAAACATGTAGGAAATTTCATGCGCCATTTTTGGTGAGCTTCAAGCTCATATTTTTCAGATCTCAAAATCAACTGGACAAAATGTCTCAAGCACGTACAAAATAACCCTCAGCTCGAAATAGCTGTTGTCAAGTAAAAAGGCGACACGTGTACAAAACTAAAACGCAACATAAAAGTAAAGACGCTACACGCCTATTCAAAATAAACATAACAATGAAAGAAGATGAAACTATGCTCATTTCAACAGACACTTGTCTTTTTTAAACAAAAAAAAAAAAACTTGCATACCTTATTATCTCTCTCTCTGCGCGTGCACCTAGGATTTGGACAGGATTTTTATTTGTAAAGCCACGCTCCTTTTTCTTACGTGTAGCCACTCTCTGCCTTGGTACACCTAGCAAGGTGTACCTAGGTGCACGTAAGTATTTGCGCCTATTTAATTGATGATAGTTTGAGACACGATTTTGAGTGGCGATTTTGTTTGTTTCCGTTTTATTTCTCTTTTTAATTTATGAAAATGTTTATGTTTGATAGACAAATAAGTTAGTTCACAGTTTATTTGATTAATTTATGAGTTTTATGTATTTAAATAAGTTTCGATTGGTAAAACGTTAAAATTTTTATTTCAGCCTATTTATCAACTAATTTTACCAAACACTTTTATCAGATAAGTTAGCTTTTCATCTATAAGTCATAAGCTATAAGCTAAAAAATTTCTGATAAGCTTTAAGCAAGCTTATCAGTTATTAGTTAGTTTTACCAAACATAACTTAAAATTAGCTGATTAGTTAGATGAAATAAAATTTTCAACTGACTTATTTGAAAAGCTACTTAAAGAAGCTTATGAGATAAGCTCGAGTATTTAAAAAAAACTCGATCCTACAAAACAAAGCTCTAGTATTTTTATTATTATGGCTGGAGAATTTTTAATTCAAGTAAATTTACTTTTGGTTTAAGGAAAACTTTAAAATATTTTATAAAATAAATATAAAAAAATATAAGTCTTTATTATGGTGGCATAATTTGTAAGTCGCCGTACTCTTTTTATAGATATGCATATTTTATTAGAATCTTTCCATTGTTGTTAGATACCAACCTTAAATTAATTTGGGGGCACATATCAGCCTTCCTTCACATTGTGATGATGCCTGTCATCCATTGTTGAGAAGAGATCATCCAAGTAAGTTTAGCGGCAACCCGTTTTTTTCACGAATAAGACGAGCTTGATCTTTCACGAATTAAATCAAATTGTGTTCGTGAATAATTTGTTGGAATATCATTTATCCGGTTGATAGACTAAATTACAGTACTCTGCATTTGCTTAAAATTAACACGAACCCCATGCCCTTACATGTTGACTACATTTTTAAAAAGTTTTGCAAAAACATGCTATGAAAAACATAAATTCATGAACAAATTATTTATAAACGAGTCATAAACTAAAAAATAAAAAAGCAATACAATTCAAAAATCAATGACAATAATAAAACTTAAACAACCATTCATAAACCATGAAAGCATAACTTAAATCAAAAATAAAAACTTTATAAATGTATAAAAAAAATTATAGGCAAAAGTATTATTTTTAGATAATAAGATTTATTAACATGGACATTCATACAGCAACTGGATCCGGTCCGAATGCTTTATATTGGGCCCAGTCATGTGGGCTTTTTCTTCCTTTTGTCTCTCTTTATTCCAAAATACGGTTCTATCTTCATCATCTTTCTCATCCAAGTATAGCAACATCATTGGCAAAACTCAATTCACACGTCATATTTGAAAATATTATTCCATCTTCGGATTCGATTAATCGCATCTATATTTTTATCGGTTATTGATTGTGGGTGAGAAACAAAGAGTACCATTCTATATATAGCACACAATTCTATATATGGTCATTTTTAGTTCTTTAGATCATGCTTCATAACCTAGAACATAATTTATTTATTTTTTAACAAATTGATCAATTGAATCATTGTATGTCCATTAATGAAATTATTTTGGAATATATATTACAAATAGTGTTGATACCGTGCGATGCACGGAGTATACTACAAAATAATATTAATTATTTAAATACTGTTAAATTATTTAAGACTATAAAATTATTTTGTCCATAATATTCAATTCAGTACTAATATGAAATTTGTTATTTACTATTAGTATTATTTTCTATTTTTTTTGTAGGTTTTGACTATTTAATAGATAAAATTTACTATTTATAAGTTTTAACTATTGTAAATGTATAAGATCATATCATATTTGCATAAAAAATACTTACTTGTACTTATAATCTTTACAATATTGCTTGATATTTGACCAACGTTTAACCCATGATATTTATCGTCATTTATAATAATTTTATGTTCATGAAATGTTAAAAGGTTTGATAAATAATTTTTAATTGTTTGTAATCTTTGTGCAACGCACAAATTTTTTATGGTTAGATATTTTATTTTTATCTTTTATTTTTTGTTTATATTTATTTATTTAATTCATCTTTGAACTTATTTAATGAGTTAATTAGTATCAATTACAATATTTAGATATATTATATATTTCTATAATTTCCAAGTGCTATAAATTAAATTATTATACATGACTATTCCGTTTACTTAATTTTCATTTATAAAATAGTATATAAGAAAAATTATATCTCTTAAAACTTAAATAGTTTTTTAATGTACATAATTTCAAAGGTGAATTTTATAATTTTGAATTGTACCCGACCATCAAATTTTAATTTTATTAAAATATTATTTTAATTTTTATTAGTATTACAAAATAGATTTGATTTATTCAATGGAGATGTATTTTTTTGAGGTTAAGTTGACTACACTTTAAAAACTTTTATTGACATTTTAAACTATTCATCAGCTTAGTATGATTCAAACATAGTTATTCTGATTATTTATTAATTATTTTAAGTTATTCTGATTTTTTTATTAAATATTTTAAGTATTTATGAATAGTGAATATAATTGATTAAATTAATACCTACAGCCATATATGGTAATATATATAATCAAATCAATTTTTATAATATTTCGTGGATTATGTCATTAAATTACTATGAAATTAGTATAAGATCTTATTGAAAATATATGTAATCAATTTATTGTCAAAATAATTGTATTTAACTCAATTTATAGTTGACGAATATCATCCATTAAGTATACAAAAATTTATTTAATATTTTTCATACATAAGATTTTCCAATAAATAAAGATTAACTAAATGTTAAATATAGACGAAAAAAATTTCCTGATCAAAACCATGTCAATTATGACAATAAGAATTGGTCCATTATATAGATATAGATATAGATATAGATAATATGGTACGGAACATTAAGCCGTTTGAGTAAGGCTGAAATTAGGGAGACCTAACTATTAGCTAATAGTACTTTTTTAATGAGATTTATATTTTCAAGCTTAAATGTCATATTTTAGAAAATAAGAATTTGTGTCTTGATTATTATTGTGTCTTCATATACAAGAATTTGTGCTTAACTTTTTGGGTGGCAATAACATTTAGCTTGATATATCTTTTTTTTCCTTTTTTTTTTTTCTCTTATATCGTTTGTATAAAAGTTTGATTCCTATTTAATCCCACTCGTGCTAAGAATTTGGTCCTATGACGAGAAATGAGTTTTATAATTCAAGAAGACGAAAAACAATGTGTGAATTCTATCCTTACCTTTTATGTTCATTTAATAACGTGAAGAAGTGTTGGTTTTGTACCACACATTCTGACAAAATAATTATATAGTAACATATTAATATTAAATATGTGTTAATTGTATGCACAAATAATCTTGAGTTTTGGTGAAAGT